TGTGTGTGTGTGTGTGTGTGTGTGTGTGTGTGTATAAAGTTTTATGAGCGATCGGAATGATCTTTTTTTTTAGTTTCTTATTTTTTTAAGATCGGCAAATGCAGTCGCTCCGTTTTATTTATTTGTTTTTCTTTGTGAGCAGTTTACTGACATTTATAATTTCATGGCGAATGTAATTATGTTTATGCTAGTAAAGAAAGATGGTAAAAATTGAATGCTGTTCATTTCTGTTTACAGTTTACTTCTATTCCATCACATTATCAGTTACTTTTATCAAATTCTTTCGCACAGGAAAGAATGTTTTAAATTATTTTTATGCGCTAATCAAATTTTGCAGAATGATAGACGAATTCTTGCAGAACAAACTCATCAAATGAGAATCTAATCTGTTACATAAAATAGTTATATCAAGTGATCACTTGGATCACGTCTTCTGTTTGCTTAGAAAATATATGAGTTTTGAATGTGCAAACATTATGATTTTTAATAATTGATGGATATTAAATTTGTATATATAATTCGGTAATGTTATGATATGATATGGTATGGTTTAATATAGTGATTATGGTTTTTAATAGTTTATGATTATTAAATTTGTTTTTTTTTTAAATCATTAAAAAGTTTCGTTCAGTGATAAAAACTTTTTTGACGTTAAAATCATAAAATCTGACTTTTTTAGAGAAAAGTATTCTTTCAGTTGAGTGTGTCGCAAATAAGATTGATTCTGTTCGATGTTTTTTTTTTTCATTTTTTTAATTTAATTTTCAGGAAAGAATGCCACTGATAGCATTGGATCCATTTGATGGTTTATTGGCAGTTGCTCGGCATACATCAGTACCAACATTGAATAGTTATATTATCATCAGTCTACTATTAACCATTGGATCTGCTTTTTATGCGAAGTTAACATTTACAAAAGATGAGGTATGTGTTCTTTGACAACTCTAATTAATTAATATGAAAAAAATATTTTACAAATCATTCATTATGGAATTATTCATTATGTCTGCACTGATTTGGTGCAATTCTATTTGAAGTAATTAAATAATTAAATAAGTTTTTTAATGCTTCAGAAAATGTTCCATTTTTTTGTTCGAAAGAAAAACATATTAAAAATTTATTCCTCCTAATGTATTATACATTTTTTCATATTTTTTTTGATTTTCAGATTGAAAATCGCTTGAGTAATATCAATGAAACTTTTCGAAAAACCGATCCAGCTAGTGCCCTAATAACATCTGCACATTTCCAACAATTTTATTATATATTACTTCATCCTACTTTTGGATGGGTAAAAAATATTGCTTTTTAAATTTTACTTTCTAATTTCATTAATTTATCTGTTGTATCTTATTTGAACGTATTCTTTTTCATCAAATGTCTTCTCTGTCAACGTTCTGCCTCTCATTGTGCACAAGCACAAAAATGTATCCTTTCGATCATTCTTGTAATGAAACGTTTTTTTTTTGTATAAATTTTCATGGATTATTGATCATGCTGATGACATCTTTTCTAATTTCAGTAGTTACATATAGAAGGATTATTTATGCTAGGAAGATCAGTCGGAGTTTTTTTTTTCCTTTTTCATTCTGGTACTAGATTTATGTTGATAACCTAACATTTTACTTTACGACGAGGGATAATTTTTTTTTTCAAAAGCAGGACATATAAGCTAGATTTATTTATCTCCGCAAAAAAATTCTTTAGTCGCAATATTAGATTTTTCTTTGAAGTGGGATTGAATAGCATCAAGAAGTGTTTAATTTTTGTGTGCATTTCGTTAAAGTAGTTCTTTTTCAGGTTTTTATCAATATGTTTTGTGCATTCTTAGCATTAATTGCGAAATTAGTAACGCATGCGGCGGTTGGGAAGCTGGGAGCTCAGGTATATTTTTCCTTGTATTGCCTTTTTATGTTTATTGCTCTTCCATGAATGATGTATTAGCATATTGGTGGAATTTCTTGATTCCCAATGGACACTTAACTTGTGATGGGAAATCAGTCTGATATGATTGTGTCTTCTGACGTATGATCATATTTAGTGGTAAGCCCTCTTGATAGCATTAAGATAATATTAATGTTGTTGAATGATTGTTTTCTACTTTATTTTCAGGAATCAGTGCTTTTACGTGAACGGTTGTGCAATTTTCTGCTTTACAAGGCAGTATTTTTATTCGGTGTATTAAATAGCGTTGTGCATGAAGAAGTGATTGCATGGGTTTTATGGTTTGCATTACTCGCATCAGTAGCTGCGCTGCAGAGTATTATCGCTTACAAGTTAAAATATGTAAGGTCCTTTACAATTAGAAGAAAAAATTTTGATATCGGAATTTTTATTAGAGATTTAAATGTGTTTAACTAATTTGAGGCAACTGCAAATCTTCGGGATTCCTTTAACCTTTTACTGTGGGTGACGTCTACTTTATCATCGGTTTCACTGGCTTTAAAGTAAAAGTGAAAGTCCAAATGAAATGATTATAATTAATTTTTTGAAGTCGATATAAGTTAAGGCTTAGTTTTTGAAAATTATCCCACGCATTATACTGTTGATTAAAATGTAACAAGAGATCATGATGTATTATTCTTTTTGGAGAAGTTGCTAGTATCAACCTAATATCGAAGTAAAACTTGTATTCATTTAATTCATTGTAGTTAATTTCTTCAATACCTCCAAGAGGAGTTTTATTTCGTATTATGGGATTGGCCATTCTTTTACTGCTGATGTCGTTCGCATTTGTTTCATTTTCATTTGTCGCTTTTCGTTTATTTTCAGTCAGCATCGCTTTATTTATTCTTGCTGATGTAAGTTGGTATTTTTTTATTTAAAAGATTATTTATGCATCCTTGGAAACATTTGTTATTATATCATCAATAATTACTTCCATCCTTAACATTTGTTGATAAATCGCTTCCGCGATTCTATTCTTGCATATTAGAAGTCATCATCTTTTTTGCAGTTTATCAGGCTTTTACTTTATTTTGCACTAAATTTATTGGAATTAAAGTAAAATATTTTGAAATGCTGATTAAATTTCAAATACTCTCCATTATTTTTTCAGGCTGTTAAGTTGCTATTAAGAAGTATTTACATAATATCCAAATCTGCTCTCTTACTGGATAGTGTTTCGATCTATTTGTCATCCATCAATCTTACAACTTTAACATATTATTTGGAATTTTTGCATGATCTTGCTATTGATTGTGTCGATTTATTGCATTACAGTCATATGCTGGCACGTGTTTCTTATTTTTATTTTGCGTATCAATTTTTTGCCACTTAATATCGATATCTGCTAGTGAGACTGTTGACAATAAGCGCTAGTTTCTTTTTAATTTCTTGAAACTTTTGAGATGTTTGCAACGCTGTTTATCATTCTCCATTTATAAGGTTTCGTTTTTTTTTTCTTTGCAGAAGTTATACCGCATCAACAAGTTTTCAATATGTTTAATATAGTTCAGAAAACTTATTTAACTGCCATATATTAACGTGAACAAGTTCTGAATTGCAGCTGTATTCGCAAGTTGTATTAAGCATGGCATGTATTGTGATTTCCATGCAATTACGATCATTTTATAAATCATTTATTACCCGTATTGAGCGCCATATCAAATATAAGCGTATTTGCAAACATATCGATGTGCAGTGAGTTTTTTTTTTCTTTATTTGTTTGTTTATTTTGTGTTTTTTAAATGAAAGTAATTTTGACTCTTACTTGTTTTAAAATATACCAATTTTTTGTGAACTGACAGGTAATGTGGTATCAACTGATTCACTTTTAACTGGAAAAACCTTTTTTGACATATGGTCCTGTGCAGCAAGTTTATTATTTCTTAAATCTTTATTATTCGAAAATATCTGGAATTTTCTATTTTTAACTGAAAGAAAAATTCCTCTCCATGAATTTTTGATCATAAAAGACCTGAACTGTATGCTTTACCCGCATTTCCAGTTATCAGAGAGCGACGCAAATCGAATTGAATAATTTAAAAGATTGGTGCGCAATATGCTGGGAGCAAATGGATAGTGCTCGAAAGCTTCCATGCAACCATTTCTTCCATGAATGGTATTCATTTCAAAAGAAAACAAATTAATTAAAATTTAGTCCAAGGAGCTTAGAAAATAGAGAAAACTCTCGAGATGGTTTGTTAGTTTATTAACGAAAATGCAAAAGTTAGGATCGGAAATACTTTTTTTGAAACACTGATAAGCACAAATTTTCTGTGTGCTTTAATATCATTAGGCTTCGGGGTGTTCATCAATATTTTAGAATTAGTTTTACCTCATATTTACTGATAAGTTTTGAAAAACTTTCAAGCATTTTATGCTCATTTTAAAAAAAGGCAGTTGTGAGTTATACTTGCATGCATCAACTGATCTTAAGAGTGAATTGAAATGAAAGGAATTTCTGAAATTATTATAATTTAAAGAGATACTTTTTAGTTAAATTCGTCTTATTCAGGTGTTTACGAAGTTGGTTAGAGCAGGATAATTCGTGTCCAACTTGTCGGCTGGCGCTTCCTTCTTCAAGTAACCCAGCAGTTATTGAAGGATCACGAGAACGGTCGCGAGTTCCGATAGTGCAGCTCTTTGGCCATGTCTTTCATTTTAGTGGTACTCGCTACGCACGTTGGTTACCATCATTTTCTGTTGAATTGTCGCATAATGTTACACCCAATTTCTTCCAACGCAACAGGTTATTACTTTTTAATTTTATTTAAAAAAAAACTTTAGTTGTTTGTTGAGTTGTGGTGATTTGAATGTACAGGTAGTGACAAAGTTACTGAAATGCATTGTTTGATTTGTAACCGTGCTATGGCTGATGCTTGACAACAGAGCAAATTAAGGCTAACTTTAGGCACTTTATGCTTAATACCAAAAACCAAAACTTTGTCAATTTTTCAGATTTGGAAGCTTAGCAAATTCACAGTTGAATTCTTTAGCTGAACAAGTTCGAGAAATGTTTCCCCAACTTGAAATGGCGGCAATTTTGGAGGATTTACGTGAAAGCGGTTCAGTGCAGGCAACTGTGGAAAATATTCTTGATAGCCGATTTCGGCAGCAAAATATTGCACTCGTAAAATTTTTGTTTTGTGTTAAGAATTTTTGTTAAGATATGTGATTTTCCAATGGAAATGCAAATCGATTGTTAATATTCCAGGATTCAGATGAGGAAATTTGGAATGGCGTGGATTCACCCTCATCTTCTAACTCCTCAACAGAATCGTCAGGTGAATACGAAGAAACTTTGATGCCATCAGGGTCTTGTTTTGGCTCTTGTTCAATAGAACATCGAGACATCTTTTTGCAAAAGAAAGATGCACTTATTCAGCACCATCGAAAGTGATTTTTCTTTTTCTTTCCAAAAAAA